AAAACCCTCACCAAGTCTTAGGATTGGCTAGTGACTTTCAGTTTCCAGAAAACATTAGCCAGCACATATTTCGGTTTCATAAAATTGCTGAAAGTGACGCTTTACATAATAATAAAACTCTACGGGGCCGGGCTCCAAACAGAGGGGATTCAGGCCATGCCCTCTGCGGGCTCAAACACAGGCAGGCCTCACTGCCAAACGGCAGCATCGCGGTGTGCAAACAGAGGCCCCAGAAGAAGGCTCCGTGTACTTGATTGTTCTCTAGATGCTGGTTTTAAGCAGAGACACGTCAATACAGAAACAGGTTTTCTGTGGAGGTGGAAGGAAGACAAGCAAAACCCCTTTTTTTCCCCTCCACCCCCAACACTGGGTTTTGGTTCCATTAATTATCTGTTCTCTCTCTAGCATCTTCCTTCACTCTCCCCTCTCTGTTCCTTCCTTCTGACCACCAGTAGGCAGAACCACCTTTGACGTGCTGCTCACCCCATCTCACCCCTTCTCTTTTTCTGCTTCGGCTGTCTCAGGGCTTCCCAGGCCTCAGCGAGGCATTTGCCTGAGGGCTTCCCGGACCCCCAGCCAGGGTGACCTGAGCTCTCTGCAGTTCTGTGCCCTGAGGCCACCCGTGTTCATGCTGTTCGACTCTTAAGCCTGTGACTCACTCCCTCGAAACTCTCACTCTCCCCTGTTTTGATCCTGGTTGTCGCATGATTCAGATTCTTCTTCTAATAGTCTGTCTCCTCCATCTTCTCACCTAAACCTTGGCACGTTCTGAAATTCTGTCTCATTTGTACTTCTTTGCTCTTTACATCATCTGATGTCTTCGATTCTCACTTCTATTCGGATGCCTACTTCGTCTTCACTTGAGACGGTCTGCCTGGTGATGGGTGATCTCGCAAACAACTTGATAAAAGTGGAACTTCATCGTCTTCCCAACACGATCAGGTCCTTCTCCAGACGCTGCTTCTGTGAGCAACTCCATCATCTCCTGAGCCTGGGCTTACCTTCTCCCTGTCATTTAGACTCTTCAGAGGGGTGTATTTTCGTTACCACTTCCCACAGGCTGTCCTTTGATACGTCTTTAATTTACATCCTTCTTTCCATTTTCAGAGCTATGGTCTATAGTCTCGGTCCTGGCCCTCGTCACCTGTCGCTTAGAGTGTGGCCGCAGTTTCCAATATGGTCCTTGCACCTCCAGTCCTTGCTTCCAGGTAGCAAAGGTTTGGTAGAAAGCAAGTAGGCTTCGGAGTTGGAGCCTATCTCTGCCATTTCCTTGAGCTGTGGCTTTATTTTTTAATCTCTCCTTATCTGTAGAGCAGGTGTAATCCCTACTTGGGGAGGGGTGTGTGAGGGTTTAAGGGGGAAACACATCTAAAATAGCTGGCTCAGGATCGATTCCTTTCCGTTTCAAAAGCACTACTGCCAGATGGAAATGTTAAAACAGACTTCTTGATTCCTTATTCAGACATTCATTTTTCTACCGAAATAAGAACAAACTCCCCAAGCCTAGCACTAAAGAGATTCCTACCGCCTGGCGCATGTACTGCTCCCGTTCTGTCGTTCAGGATTCTTTCTTAAACACCGCCATTCTAGTTCCCATCTGTCTCTTTCTAACTCTCTGATCTTGGGCTGAAGGACTTGGCCTACATCTCTGTCTGATAAAATACTAGCTCTTCTTCTTTTTTCGAAAAATATATTTTATTGATTTTTTACAGAGAGGAAGAGAGAGGGATGGAGAGCTAGAAACATCGATGAGAGAGAAACACTGATCAGCTGCCTCCTGCACACACACACCCCCCCCCACTGGGGATGTGCCCACAACCAAGTTACATGCCCTTGACTGGAATTGAACCTGGGACCCCTCAGTCCGCAGGCCAACGCTCTATCCACTGAGCCAAACCAGTTTTGGCTACTAACTCTTCTTTAGGTCAAGATTCCAGTCAAGATTCATCTTAAAGCCTACCTTCTCCCAAGGCCATTCCTGGTTCCTACAAGTGGACACATCATCTTCCTCTGACCTCCAGGGCACGTACACCTACCTCTTGGAGGCATTTATTATTATTATTATTATTATTATTATTATTATTATTCCACTTGCTCACATTCTTCCTGTGGCGTGTCTTCACGGCAAGACTGAACACCCCTTGATGTCAGGGACCATGTCAGCCTCAGGCCCAGAGAGCCCTCTGCCCTGTGCGATGACTGCCGTATGCCAAACACAAACCTGCAATTCACACTCCCCTCCGTCTATGAAACCATCTTTCCCCCGAAGCTTCTGCTGAGTGTCAACCTTCCCAGAAACTACACAGGGAAGCACATCTCTTAGTGAGAGTCATTCTCTCACCACCACCAAATTCCTGAGCTCATAATTACAGAAAAGTATCCCCAAATACCATCATCTCAAATATATGGCGCCATCATTTCATTGGACACAGTTTACTTACTAGTTTCCTGAATCCCTTGGTTGGAATCACAAGCCGGTTTTGTTGACCTGTCTCCTGGGCCCTGAGGGAGCAACATTCTTTTGATGAACGAACATCGTCATCAGGCAAATCGACCCTTGAGAACATCTAAACTTACTTTTCTTTCTGATACATGTGTCAGTGTCTTTAATACAGATCATCAATGGTACACAGAAAAAAATCAAACTCAGATGATTCAGTTGTGCTTCTGAAAATAAAAAGAAAAAAAGAAACAGGGGTCCATAGAATCAGTTTCTTAAAATGAGTCCATATTTCTTAAGTATTTGATCAATTTATAGTTTTTAGGATTGAGATCTTTATAGTCTTTCATATTGAGTTTCAAAGTATCATCTTTAAAATATGCAGGTTTATGTTATCCATCTTGTAGTTTACAAGGTTTAACTTTAGGATGAATGAGGCTGGAAATATATGAGAGCTCCTGTTGCCAATACCATTTGCAAAGTATAATTTTCAAGAAGTGCATTGACTCATACAAACAGAAAGAAAAAAAAAGTCAACGATTTTATTCCATTCGATTAACGAGGAAACCATAAGATGTTAAGACTGATTCAAAAGAATATTCAAGGACATAGAGATTGGTAGTTGTTCAAAGGAATGCAGAAATAAAAATACAAAAACTGTTTCATATCCCTTCAGGCTACGGCTTTTGCGATGCTACTGGACAAGAACCCGCCCTCGGAAGGGAGAGCGTCCCTATGAGACCTTCCTTAGGCTGAAATGGCTAAAGCGAAGAAGCGAAGACCGTTATTTTATGTGGAGAAGTTTTTGAGCATTCCCAGACCTGAATTTGACAGGCACGTAATATCTCACTTTGTTTAACACGATCAAGACACTTAATTATGCCCAGTTTTCCGATAAGAGTAACACCCTGACCCGCTCTCTCAGGCTTTTCCTGACACCTTAAGGCCTCCTCTTGCTGACGGATGTGCAGAGTGGATCCAGACGAAGATCAGAGGCTCCCAGACACCGTTCAACGCTGTCTGGCTGAGTGGGCTCCTGGGGGAAGGAGCTGACGGGCTGCTCTCACTGCTTGGGGTGCTGGCTGCCTCAGGGAGAGCTTGCTGCGAAATAATGCTAAATGCTATTTTTGTTTTTGCCTTTTTCTGTAAAAGTGAAAATCCTCGGGTACTAGGAAGGTCTTTTGTAAAAGCGAAGTGGCGTATTGTGAACTTTCCCAAAGTGTATGCCTGTATTGCTATCAGGTTTTCTACAGGTTAGTCTGTCTATTCTTACAAAGTTGCACAATAGCCTTCCTGATCAGTCAGCGTGAGGTTTATACCCTAGAAAATCAAAGTCCCCCGGAAGCACAGAGAGGGTGCTCAGAGTTCACTTTGACCTCTTGCCAAGTTTTGCATACTTGCTCCTGACACTATTATAATAACTAAGAGCTGTAAGAAAATGGCCCTGGCCAGTTTGGCTCCGTGGATAGAGCATCGGCCTAGGGACTGAAGGGTCCCAGGTTCAATTCCAGTCAAGGGCATGTACCTTGGCTGCCGGAACATCCCCAGTTGGGGGGTATGCAGGAGGCAGCTGATGGATGTTTCTAACTCTCTATCCCTCTCCCTTCTTCTCTGTAAAAAATCAGTAAGATATATATATATATATATATATATATATATATATATATATATATATATATTTTAAAAAGAGAGGTGCATGAAAACAAACCAATCTGCTTTTCCCATGACTACCTACAATTAGATATATAAACCTGGATGCTAACCAATCTCCCATTCTCCTCCCACCGCTCACCACTGTTTCATCAGGAACTCTGGAGTCAGACCCTAGGGTTCCATCGTTACAATGTTAGGTAAATTACTTAGCATCTCTATGCCTCAGTTTCAGAGTAAAACATTATTTATTTATTTATTGTTTTTTTCCAATGATCGCTCGTATGTATATATGCGTCCTCTGTCGTCAGTACAGGACGCTGCTCTCCCGCGTACATCACCCCCACGTGTGTGCACTCACAGGGGCTGGAAACATTTTAAATAGTAGTATCCTTACAGCTTTGCTATGAGGATTAAATGAAATAACGTACATTACTACTATAAAGAAAGGGTTAATTGTTCTAGTATGATCTTTATTATGACATTACAACATTTTGAGAAATAGCCTGTCTCACCCCTTGTTAAAAAGGGATTTGGTTCTACATTTTATAGCAGAAGCAAAATAATTAAATCACAGTAATGAGCCAATTAGTTAACTAATAATTAACTTGTTATGGGATTAATAGATTCTACATGTGTCAAAGGATAATTCACTTCTTTCAACTTTGACGTTCAAGGAACAAAAATGTATGAGTCAGTGGTGGCAGGAAATTAATCTCTGTTAAGAGGACCAGGCATTGTGCTCACCACATAGTCATTATATGTCAACAAATGAGTATTTTCAGGAGGAGAATAGTTCTGTTTTTTTTCTTCCTTAAGTAGAATTGCTAAAAAATAATAATAAATAAACGCCAAAAGAAAAACATGCTGAAGCCTTAGAAAATGGATTGACCAAGCATGTCACACACAATAGCAGTGGTTCAAAGAGCAGTTCAGCTTTAATCATTTATTCTACAGAACAAAAAAGAAACCAAACTAAATACTCTCTGAATCACAAATTATATTACTAACACAATGATATATATAATGCACTGGGAAATTTATGCCCTTTCAGTATGTATTGTTATTTTTACTTTACCCACAGGGTGCTAAGGAAAATACTGAATAAATACACATTTTATTAAAAACACACAAACTCTGTTACAAATTGATATAAATCACTTGTGTCTCCATCCCACCCCAATGTTGGCTTCCCTACCCGTAAATCAAATCACAGTCCCGTAAGCCATGAAAAACCTGTGGATAAAGACAGTAAATGAAGTACTGAAGTTGAGAATCAAACAGGAAAGAGTTGTAATTCAAAATACACCGCGCAATAATTAAGAAAAAAAAATGACAACTCGTGCAGAAGCCTGGATACATTTTTATATATTATACTTAAGCCCGAGAAAAGAATTTTCCTACAAAGTTGGTTTTTAAGAGGACATTTCTAGTTTCAACTAAACACCAAAGAGAAGGGAATTTCCCTAAAGGGCTTTCTGAGCCAAAGGAAAATCAAATTATGCTTGAAAAACAAAAGCAAAGACTAATGTCTGCCACTTTGCCCCCACCCGTTACTTCGGATCTGCTTCAGTGCAGGCGTTCCTGTTCAAGGCCATTTATTGATTTTACGCTCTCCACACAACCAAATCTAGATTAACCCTCCATGTTCCCAATGGGTTCACGAATGGGACCAACGTTATTTTTAGTCCCCCATGCGCTGGGAAACTGCTTTCTGGCTGCACGAAAACATACGTAGACATATGAAGCCTCAGATGGAAGAAACAGATTGAAGAAACAGCAACTTATTGTCAAAGGACATTATTTACGGCCACTATTAACAATGATTTCTTCTTGTATGATTTTAAGGAAACTCAGCGGCACAACGATGTAAGCAAATCAACGTATCACACTGATTTCATATGCTCAAGTTTTTATGTAGAAAACGTCAAGTAAAATAATGCCGAGCTCAAGTTTTTAAAAAGCTAAGTGTAAGTTCATATGTATACTGGATATCTCTGACTTTCAAAGAAAGAGGCAGAGCTAACAAAATGATGCTAGAATATAAAGTGTTATTGGAATTTTTCAACTGTGCATGTCTAGTTCCTTTGCCACGGATTGTAAACATTTTAAAAAATATTTGATAAAAGTAAACACATGATGGTTCCCACAACTAAAGACACATTTAAAATACATACAAGTAAGTTTGGGAGAGTACACGGCAGGGAGAGTCATTAGACACTATCACTGGTAAGTCAAATATACACAAGGCGATGCACCTGTTTTCAAATGTCCACTCGGTACAATGGCCAGTAACAGAACTTGAGAGTCAGGGGCCACTGCTTTCTAAATACAATGAACACTGTTACCTCAGTTGTACTAATAACTAGAATTGTTTAAAATGGAAGCTTTAAGAGATTATTTTTGGAAATTTAACTTGTAATAAAACCCTTATCAAAGAATGTGCTATGTCAGGTTTTTCCTTTTATGTAACAAAAGAACAATAAAAGGCAGATGGAATGTAAGAGAAGAAATCATAAAATAGAAATTACATACCTCAAGATAAAGTGATGGAATGGGGTGAATAAAAATGATAGTAACCATGATTATTTGAGGTGGCACGGCTAGTTTTGACGCTCCTTTTAATTATGATTTTAATGTAAAATACATGTGTATCTCACATTTTTGCTTTCTGTTCTCAAGGGTATATTTTAAACCCTATTTTAAACAAAATTAGTAGCCCAAATCTTTCATCTACCTTAAACTAATTTTTGTTTTTTGTCCTCTTCTCTCCAAATCTCTCAATAGAGTTCTACAATAACCAATAGGACTCTTTGATGCCCCTCAATTCATTTGTGCAGTATCCTTGCAAAATCCACATATACTTTAACTGTATTAACATTCATTAACATACCAAGAAACCGAGGAATCAGTGAGGTTCCGTTTAGAGAGGGCATTTACCACTGTATCCTCGGAGTTGAGACTTAATGTAACAAACAAAAACATGGCCGACCTAAAGAAACATTACTCTCTGGGACATGGCTAGTGGAACTGATGTCTACATCAGCCCTTGAGGTAGAAATTTTACTACTCATTCTTAAATATGTGAAATACTTAAGTTAATAATGTTTAAATATAAAGTTTAAAAACTGCACAAAGATGTTATGAATGGCCCTTATATACACCTTAAAAGTCAAATAAATCAGGTTTACAATGAGATTGTTTTCTTTATGAATTTTTAAAAAATGTTTTTTATTGTTTTGTGTGTTTTTTTTGAGAGAGGAAGGAAGAGGGAGAGAGAGAAAAACATCACTCGGTTGCCTCCCACACACACCTTGACTGGGGGTCAAATGGGCAACCTTTCAGTGCACAGGATGATACTCAACCAACTCATAAGCCATATCGGCCAGGGCTCTTTATAATGTTTTAAATACATATATATATATTTATTTAGAATTTTATATAATCTACAAATTGATTTTCCAGTTACTTACAGTCCTTTTAACTCAAGGAAGGAAAACGAAACTCTTTAGGACGTTAACTATCAGTAAAAACAGAATTCTAGGCGTTCCTCATCAACACTATAAAATTCTGTAAATAGGTAATTCATTTTATGTTTTAAAAATACTTGTTTGGAACAACTGAGGGCTTCATCTGTATCTATTCAGGTGACTAGAAAACGAACCGGTCAGGTTTAGAGGTGGTTGTCTTAAATTAGGAGGCCGCCCCCATGAGTTTTCTCAGAGGCAGACAGGTGACAGAAGGAGGTCTGAGGAAGATGTGGGGAGAAGCTGGTCAGGAATGGCAAAGAAATGTTTCCTTCTCAGAGTTCCCGGGCCTCTGCAGACAGAGGGTGAAAACACGATCGCGGGCTTTGTCAGTCTGTGCAGGACACGTCAACTTCAGCTTGTCTCAAACGTGGCCTTCTGCAAGCTTATAGAACCTTTACCTGATCCTGATACTCTGTATTTAAAAACTGAACACACGCACCCAGGCATGGACGGACAGCGCAGGGAGGGAGGGAGAGCTGGCACGAGAACGTTAAAAAGGTGCTTAAATGCAAAGCTCAGGGAGAAACCTTGGCTTCTGACCCACTGAACTAGGAAACACAGCACAAACATTAAAAACAAGGGGAGAGAATGAAAGACTGAGCTAATAATTCATAATGACCTATTGCAGCTGGCAGAGAGCAGTCGAAAAGCACAGTCACGGATGGGTAAGTAAACAGCCACCATTGTTCATTTCTTCCCTTTCCCTTTGGATAGGATCTCTGCGTAAGAGGTGTGAATGAAGTCATAAAGCTGCTTCGCATTCGCGGCGTTCCCCAGAACACTAGCGAGCTCGTCTTGTGACAGGCTGGCTAATTCCGCAATGCTCTTCACGTGGTTCATCAAGGAGCGACAGTTTTTGGCATTCACCCCGGGCATCTTCAACAAGAAGTCCTGGGGTCCAGGGTTATACTTGTCTGACTCGGGGAGGGTTCCAGAATCTGCTGTGATGGCCATGGCTGTCGCCGCATCGGGCTGCGGCTTATTCTGTTTCAGCTCCTCGAACAGCTCGGCGGTGGCATGGGGGGACGGGCACCAGAGGATCCGGAGTTTGGGGAAGTGCAGGGTGAGCAGAGTGAGCTTGGAGCTAACGTCGTTGCTGGAGATCTCCTGATGGAAGGCACCTCGGGCGATGAGGGAGAAAGGCTTGCTGGGGTCAAACTCAATCAGCAGCACTGGCCGCTTGTAGTAGCGGGACATGGAGACGCACTGGCTGTAGAGGCGGCCGTTGTTTAGAGAGCCGATCAAGTCACTGATGCTCTTGCGTTCCACACACATTTCCGGAGTCAGAATGTAGTCTCCGACCTCTAAGGTCACCGGCTCAATGTCAATGCCCCGACGATGGATCAGAGATGGAAGTTCACTTCGAAACTCACGCATGTCCACCACTATAGTTTGCTGGACACTTTTCTGTTCTTGGCCACCTATTAAGAAAAAAGTAGCATTTTTATTTATTTATTTATTTATTTATTTATTTATTTATTTTAAATATATATTTTATTGATTTTTTTATAACGCATGTCCACCACTATAGTTTGCTGGACACTTTTCTGTTCTTGGCCACCTATTAAGAAAAAAGTAGCATTTTTATTTATTTATTTATTTATTTATTTATTTATTTATTTATTTATTTTAAATATATATTTTATTGATTTTTTTATAGAGAGGAAGAGAGAGGAATAGAGAGCCAGGTAGAGAGCCAGAAACATCGATGAGAGAGAAACATCGATGAGAGAGAAACATCAGCCAGCTGCCTCTTGCACCCAAGGTACATCCCTTGACCTGAATTGAACCCGGGACTTCTCAGTCCGCAGGCCAACCTGGCTGATCTCAGCTGCTGCCATGGGGAAATGGGATAAGGGGACATGGGATGAGGGGAAATGGGATGGGGAAGTGGGGTGAGGGGAAGTGGGGTGAGGGGAAGTGGGATGAGGGGAAGTGGGATGGGGAAGAGGGTGAGGGGAAGTGGGATGAGGGGAAATGGGGTGAGGGGAAATGGGATGAGGGGAAATGAGGTGAGGGAGAATGGGATGAGGGGAAGTGGGGTGAGGGGAAGTGGGATGAGGGGAAGTGGGGATGGGGAAGAGGGTGAGGGGAAGTGGGATGAGGGGAAATGGGATGAGGGGAAGTGGGATGGGGAAGTGGGATGAGGGGAAGTGGGATGGGGAAGTGGGGTGAGGGGAAGTGGGATGGGGAAGTGGGATGAGGGGAAGTGGGATGAGGGGAAATGGGATGGGGAAGTGGGGTGAGGGGAAGTGGGAGGGGAAGTGGGGTGAGGGGAAGTGGGATGAGGGGAAGGGGGATGAGGGGAAATGGGGTGAGGGGAAGTGGGGTGAGGGGAAGTGGGATGAGGGGAAGTGGGATGAGGGGAAGTGGGATGAGGGGAAATGGGGTGAGGGGAAATGGGATGGGGAAGTGGGGTGAAGGGAAATGGGATGGGGAAGTGGGGTGAGGGGAAATGGGATGAGGGGAAGTGGGGTGAGGGGAAGTGGGATGGGGAAGTGGGATGAGGGGAAGTGGGATGAGGGGAAGTGGGGTGAGGGGAAGTGGGATGGGGAAGTGGGGTGAGGGGAAGTGGGATGGGGAAGTGGGGTGAGGGGAAGTGGGATGGGGAAGTGGGGTGAGGGGAAATGGGATGGGGAAGTGGGGTGAGGGGAAGTGGGATGGGGAAGTGGGGTGAGGGGAAGTGGGGTGAGGGGAAATGGGATGGGGAAGTGGGATGAGGGGAAGTGGGATGGGGGCGTGGAGGGAAGTGGGGTGAGGGCCGTGGGTGCGGGGAAATGGGATGGGGGAAGTGGGGTGAGGGAGTGGGCTTGGGGGCGTGGGATGAGGGAAGTGGGGAGAGGGGTGGGTGGGGGGCGTGGGGTGGGGGGTGGGGTGAGGGGAAGTGGGGTGAGGGGAAGTGGGATGTGGGGAATTATTCCTGGATCAGGGTGCGCTTGGAGTCCAGCACGTCTTGGTGGTGTGCTGCAGTATGGATACTGCACAGTAATGAGAATACACGCCCCTGGGATCTGGAGAAGCTTCAAGAAGCAATAAACAACCCCAGAAAGACAAGTGGGAATGTACCTAAACAACTCCTGCCTATTTATCTCTGGTTAAACCGGCTCCTTCCAGTTAAGATAAGAACCTAATCACCATTTACAAAAATTTCTTTGCAAAAATACATTGAGTCTCAACCAACCACATTGAAAAGCAGTGCTGGAACTTAACTAATTTCCAAGCTGGGGTGCAGCAACTACACCCCTGTATTTTACAGACGAGGAGCCTTAGATTCAGGAAGGACACAGGGTTAATAAATGGCAGAGTGGAGACCAGGGTTTGGGAGCAGACATCATCTTTACGTGTTGAGAAAACCAAGTCTCGGCATAGAAACTCTGGGACCTCACAGCCTCCTTCAGAGGCAGCGGGAGGGCAGGCCTCACCTGCTTTCCGAGTGTCGGCGGGATCCCCTGCGGACACGGAGCCTCTCACCAGGTCCAGGTTTGATTCACTTCTGCCTTCCCTTTCTTCCGGGACAACCATGCTAGCCTTTTCCCTGCGAGAGAAAAACACTTTACACATTTGGAATTAATTTACAAATTCCAGACTTTAATCTTTTGTAAATTATAATATTGAAAATGACCAACGTGACTGTAGTGGTAAAAAAAGAATACAAGAAATACTTTAGAAGTCAATATGCCCAGACAAGTGATGGGCAAGAAAAGGATTTTTTGGTTGGATACTACTTCCAATTTTCCAGAGTTAAAACAGCTGCTGTTTATTTTCTATTTTATATGTTCTTTAACCACTTTCAGACATGAAATAAACATGTAAAAACACTGCAGATAAATTACTGAAACTTTAATAAAAAATATGCTAATGCTATTGAGCATTAAAAATAATTTAAATAATTTGTATTCCAACTAGAGGCCCTGCGCATGACATTTGTGCACTGGAGGGTGTGGTCCCTGAGCTCGGCCTGCACTCTCTCACAGACATCCCTAAGGGGCCCACCTGCCAATTTATAGCCAGACATCCTCCAAGGGTGCTCAGCACTGCTGTGGAGGCAGGAGAGGCTCCTGCCACTGCCATTGTGCTCTCCGACCAAGAGCCCGGCTTCTGTGGGAGCACACTGACCATCAGGGGGCAGCTCCTGCACTGAGCGTCTGCCCCATGGTGGTCAGTGTGCGTCTTAGTGACTGGTCGTTCCACGATTCGGTCGATTTGCATATTAGGGTCTTAGTATATAGGATAAGTCATCATAAATAGGGATGGTTAAAAATCAATGGTTTTAGAAAATGAAAACATACATGATAGAACTCTGATTTTAAAAAACTCCACTAAACACTCAATTTTAAAGGAAAAAATCAGGGTTGATTCAAGAAAGCAAATTTCCAACTGAGATTTAAACAAAAAAATCAGCATCTTAGCACTGATTCACTCACTGGTGAATTTATTTAAAAATATTTATGAGTGTGCCTATGTGCTGTGCTAAGAACTCTAGATGCAAATATAGTTACACGATAATTCTTGTCTTCAAGGTAGCTCAGTACCTTATACTGCACATTCATAACAAAGGTTTGTAATCAGGAACTATAATCATTAACGAAAGAAAAAGTACATTATATTCTTTTTCTTTCGTTAATGATTATATTCCCCCCCCCCCCGCCCCTTTCTATTTCAGAGAGGAAGGGAGAGGGAGAGAGAGATAGAAACATCTATAATGAGAATGATTGATCGGCTGCCTCCTGCACACCCCCTGCTGGGGAATGAGCTCACAACCAGGACATGTGTCCTTGACTGGAACTGAACCCAGGACCCCTCAGTTGGGAGGCTGATGCTCTATCCACTGAGCCAATCTGGCCAGGGCCTTGAAACAGCAAGTACTGCTTGTCCAATTAGTACAAGGTATGGCAGACAAGAAGAACAGGGCTATTCTCTTTCCTTGTAGGGCTTGCAACTGAACTGAGGAAACAAAGGAACCATGAGAGATGGGGGACATGGAACAAACTGCACTAAAAGAGACTAGGGTAAGGTGAAACAGAAGAGGAATCTTCAACGTTAACTAATAATTTCAACAAGGGTTACACAGCAAAGACTTTCCAATGGAAGGAAAGAAACCAGATGGACCAATTCTCCAACCACTCTGGATAACAAAGGAAATTTTATAGCAGAGTAGCAATAAATGATACCACTAAAGAATATTGTAATTTTAATTTCCATACTATTTGAAATGACATACAAATGCACAGTTATAATCACTACATCATTTTAGACGCAAAGTGTTAGACAGTAGTTCCCGTTCAATTTTCCCTCCTTATCCTCAATACCAGTGCCAAGTGCTGCCTGCTGGAAAATTCTTTGCAGTGACAATGGCTCTGGCAGCCGCTCATTACTATTTCATTGTATCTACTAGGATTTAGTTGAGGACAAAGGACCAATCATTCAAAAAAAAAATTATTGCTCTTAAATTTCTTTTTCTTTCATATTTGGGTTAACAATGAGGATTTTCTCTCTCTATTTCGATTCTTTCTCTGGCTAAGCTGCATTATCACCCATGGGAGCACTCCCATCTCCCGATCGATTTGTAATCTGTGAATGGTGGGACAGCATGATGCAAAGCAGACTCTGGAGAATCTTTATTTCCTGGATTTGAAATCACTTTTTGGCTGTATGGTCTTAGGCAAGTCATTTAATGGCTCAGTGCTTCGGTTTCATCTGTAAAATGGGGATAATAAAACCTATCTCAAAAAACTATTATAAGGATTACACATTTTATGTAAGGCACTCAGAACAGTGCCTAGCACATAATTAGTACCATAAAAAAGGCTAGCTGTTATTTTAAGTGCACTTTTCTTTGTTTAATCTGTTTTTATTGATTTTAGTGAGTGAGGACGGAAGAGGGAGAGAAAAATCAATGAAAGAGAAACACTGATAGGCTGCATCTTGCATGCCCCCTCCTGCACAATCAGAGCATGTGCCCTAACAGGGAATCTAACCAGCAACCTTTTAGTGCACAGGAAAATGCCCAATCACTGAGTCATACTGGGCAGACCTAAGTGTACTTTTCTTATAATGTGGTAACTTTATCCCATAATTATCTATGATTATGATAAAAAACTAAAGATTACTTTTAAGTGATTCCACAACTGTTTGAATTAATCTATACTAATAAAAAGGCAATATGCGATGAAACTGGTTTGGCTCAGTGGATAGAGCGTCAGCCTGTGGACTGAAGGGTCCCGGGTTCAATTCTGATCAAGGGCATGTACCTTGGTTGTGGGCACATCCCCAGTAGGGGGTGTACAAGAGGCAGCTGATCAAAGTTTCTCTCTCATTGATGTTTCTAACTTTCTATCCATCTCCCTTCCTCTCTGTAAAAAGTCAATTAAAAAATATATTTAAAAAAAAAGGCAATATGCAAATTGGTCAGGATGCCCTCACAGTAATGACAGAACAGCAGGCTGCATGAGGTGACAAGGCCAGCAGGGGAGTTAGTGAGGGATGACCAAATGACTGAACAGCAAGCTTTGTGGGGTGACCAGGCTGGCGGGGGGACAATGAGGAGTGACCAGGCCAACGGGGGGGGCAGTTGGGGGTGACCAGGCTGGCAGGGGGGCCATGAGGAGCAACTAGGCTGGCAGGGAGGCAGTTGGGGTGACCAGGTTGGCAGGTGGGGCAGTTGGGGACGACCAGGCCTGCAGGGGCGAGGGCAGTTAGGATCAACCAGGCCAGCAGAATTGGGCAGTGAGGGGTGACCAGTTCAGCAGAGGGGGAACAGCTGGGGGCAACCAAACTGGCAGAAGGGGTAGTTGGGGGCGACCAGGCCAGCAGGGAGAGCAGTTAGGGACGAATAGGCCGGCAGAGGGGCACAGTGAAGGATGGCCAGGCTGGCAGAGAAGGGGCAGTTAGAGGTGACCAGGCCAGCAGGTGGGGGTGGGGGAGCAGTTGAAGGCAACCAGGCCAGCAGAGGGGCCAGTTAGAAACAATCAGGCAGGCAGGCAGGTGAGCAGTTAGGAGCCAGTGGTCCCGAATTGTGAGAGGGAAGTCTGACTGCCGGTTTAGGCTCGATCTCAAATTGGGCCTAAACCGGCAGTTGGACATCCCCCGAGGGGTCCCGGCTTGGCTGAGGGACCCCTCTCCCCCACATGAACTTCATGTACCGGGCCTCTAGTATTGTTAAGTAAAAGAGCTAGTTTACCATTAAGTATTATAACGTAACTGCAAACTGGATTTGAGAAAAATTATACTCCTGAAACCAGCTGTGAAGAAAATATTGTCTTTTCACATTAATTTAACAGAAATTTGCCATAATTATATTCAGTCCCTTGCTTTTAGCATTTACATAATTATCCAAGTTACTCTCTATGACAGATACAAAATAATTTAAAAATTCAGATTCCTACTTCCATTTAATCTAAAATACTGGAGTTTCTTATTTTCCCTTCAACATCTTCAATGATATGTGAATTGCTTGTACATGGCAATGCAGGGAGGAGGCAATGAACTGAAATCTCTTCCAATGGGCCTTTACTCAAGCCCTCATGTTAACCCATTTCATGATCGTATTTTCTAGCTGTAATATTTCAGATAATCTTGCCCCTTCCTTTGAAAAGCAGTGACCTTTCCAAAACTATGTGTACTCAGAATGTTATTACTAATTTTCCTATCCAGGGAGCATTTTATTATGCAATCTTTTTTTCTCTTTACTCATCTGTAATCTACTGATCTTCAGTCCCATCAAACCATCTCTTCATCATCAGCTCACTTGCTTGATTCATTCTTCTCTGGTTATTTTAAATAGTTGTACTGCTTTTATTCTTACATCACCCGTGAAGGAGGTCCTGGCAAAAGCACATTAACTGACTCTGACATTAAATTTTTCTCCAAATGCCGAAACTGGTTTGGCTCAGTGGATAGAGCCTCGGTCTGTGGACTGAAAGGTCCCAGGTTCGATTCCGGTCAAGGGCATGTACCTTGGTTGCGGGCACATTCCCAGTAGGGGGTGTGCAGGAGGCAGCTGGTCAATGATTCTCTCGTTTTTAGCTCTCTATCTCTCTCCCTTCCTCTCTGTAAAAAATTAATAAAAAATATATTAAAAATAATTTTTCTCCAACTACAGGTTCAGTGCAAGTGCTCTTTCAGCAATGCACCTTACAAATATTTTGCTTTTCAAAACAAATACTTCTCAAATTACCCAGGAGTATCGGGAAAGTAAATATTTTAAGACTCTAAATAGTATAACTCTGATTGCTATTTAATATGGGAAGATCTAACTAATCGTAAGTAGACAATCACCATTGAGAGAGTTTAGAAAATTATGCCAGACCTTAGATAAAATTACTAATACATTAACATCTGCTATGGAGACTATTGTATAGATGAAAATGTCGGAAACAGTCGACATTCCGGGTTTTGCTGAGTAAGATTTCCAGTAAGTGCCAGGTTTATTTATCCACACCTCATCACTGAGCCCTCTGATCTACAGGATTACTTACATAAACCAGGAGTGACCTGGGATCCCCAATACCATGCTACAATCCGCTAAGTACTCTTCTCCCTGATGTACCAGAGAAGAGACAGCCTCTTGAAGGAAGCCTGGAGCATAAAACTCACCTCCTGAGTACCTTCCTCCCCACGTCCAACCAGGCTCCTCAGGCTCCAGCACTGGGCACGAAAACTGTGAACTCAGCAGGCTTGGGCTGCTCAAACCCTGCACATTCCTAAGAAAGGCCTGTCTCCTGGGGACTGGCCCGTGGCCAGCTTCTGGGAGATAAGCTCTGAGCCCCTGGAGTATTCTGCCTGGTATTTGTATGCCTGAGGCCTGGGGCCGCACAGCACCAGTTGGATTAGATGCTTTATGCATAAATGTGTTTTTGCTCCAGGGTTGGGTAGAGTCTGTCAGGTTGGTACTCTGTGTCTGTGTGACTGACCCTCAGTAAAGATGCTCAGGCCGGGCCCCTGTTGACAACACTGCGCGTACTGTCATGCACTGCTGCTGGGAGAGTTAAGCTCCGCTAGGTGACCCCACTGGGAGAGGACACTCAGAAGCCTGTGCCTGGATCTTCCCGGGCTTTATCCCAGGTGCTCTTTCCCTTGGCTGATTTTAATGGGCATCCTGTTGTTGTAATAAACCATAATTGTGAGAAACCAGCCTGTTTTTATTCTCGTGGGTCCTTCTAGCTAGCGAATCACTGAGCTTAGGGTAGTCTTGGGGATCCTCGACATGAACACCAACGTGAGTAACCTAATCTGAATATTTTAGCTTTATGTGCTCATTTGTAACTTGGTGGCACTTACTTTAATCACAGAAGCCTTAGGCAAAGGATGTTGTAAAAAGAGCGAAGGAGTGTTTAGACGCCCACATCCAGGATCACCAATTCTCTGATTCCATCTCCTAAATATCTCTACGTCTGTGCCCCTCTCTTCATCAACTGGGTCTTGGCGACCACCTTACCAGACAATTGCAGAAGCTTTCTGACTACTTTCCCTGCTCCATCCATTCCTCAGTTGGATGCCAGGGACAGCCTTTAAAAGCATACTTAGAACTCTTCAATGGTGTCTTATTGCCTTCAGAGTCAAGTCTTAAATCCTTTAATAGCCTTCTTGCACCTCTGAACCTTCAAACACACCCTCGGTCCACACAACCCCCTTATCCACCTCGTCTACCAACAACTAGCACACATTCATGTATCAGCTTAAATACCACTTCTGCGGCAAAGGTGTCCCTAGTCCCCTCACTGGGTTAGATTTTTTTGACACACTCTCTTATTACACCCATCTCTTTTATCTTTACAACCAGCAGCACTCTGCACATGTCAATTTATTATAATATTCATTGCATGCTTCATTACTTAATGTTTGTCTTTCCCACTAGAGGACAAGTTCTTGGAAGGCAGAGGCATTTTCTGCACCACTGCTGTAACTTAAGCATTAATGTAAGCACAGGGCTTGACACATAATAGGTGTTCAATAAATATCTGTTGACTGAATCTGAGGAAAGTAAAGCTATAGAAGATAGAGAGGCACCAAAAACTTTGGACCAAGAACAGATAGCTTATATAATACCTTGTTTGTCATAACTCTTTCTGAGATACTTTTTAAAAAAACATACACCCGCCCCCTCTCCCAAACACATACCGTATAAACCATTCCACAGAACATGTTAATAGAAAACATATTTCCATAGGCTGAAAGGACTGACTAATAATTGTATGACTAGAAGCTGGAAGACTCCACGAATAAGCCATGTCACAATAGCAGAGGAGGGGAAAGATATATCCATGTAGTATGCTGAGCCCCTCCATGGGGACATAACAGCACTGATTCACTCAACGCTTCTAGACAAACTGAGTATGTGATTATTTTATGCATATACTGAGAGTCCGTAGCCAGTGTTGAAGGATGCTTGTCGACTCTGAAATTTTGCCTAGGGCCCTGGCAGGCTAGCTACCACTAAAAATGGTCTCTGCCTTCTCTTTGCCATTGATATACTGCCCATGTCTGAGGCCTGGGAGATGGCTATGGCCCAGTTATTCTCAGCTCAGGTCATAATCTCTTCTGGTCTAACCTTTTATCTGCCTCAGCTCCAGGATGTCCTGTCCAGCCCTGCCCTGGCTTCTGAGGCCCCTAAGGCAGTGGTCGGCAAACTCATTAGTCAACAGATCCAAATATCAACACTACAATGATTGAAATTTATTTTAAGAGCCAAATTTTTTAAAGTTAAACTTCTTCTAACGCCACTTCTTCAAAATAGACTCGCCCAGGCCATGGTATTTTGTGGAAGAGCCACACTCAAGGGGCCAAAGAGCCGCAAGTGGCTCACGAGCCGCAGTTTGCCAACCACAGCCTTAGGGATCATCTTCCCTACGGCCGTGGTCGGCAAGCCACTGCCCAAGGCCATGATGGGCAAACTGCGGCTCGCGAGCCACATGTAGCTCTTTGGCTCCTTGAGTGTGGCTCTTCCACAAAATACCATGGCCTGCGCGAGTCTATTTTGAAGAAGTGGCATTAGAAGAAGTTTAAGTTTAAAAAATTTGGCTCTCAAAAGAAATTTCAATCGTTGTACTGTTGATATTTGGATCTGTTGACTAATGAGTTTGCTGACCACTGCCCTAAGGGATCATCTGATCCATTTTCCCTCACCACGCTGTGATCTCCTTGAAATGTCCCTGGTGGGAGCTTCTCAGATTTCTCAAACACTACCAGGGGTGAGAGGTAGCCATCCAGTTTGTGAATATCTCACTTAGAAACATTTTCCTTATATTAAATTAAGAAGCTTTTTCTATTTAGATGTACAGCTTTAAAGGACACTCATTCTCAAAAGCATACACTTAGGTTCAGAAAAAGATCACACCTTTTCAAAAGTATTTTCAGAGAGCGATCTGATCTAAACTGACCTGGATGTAAAAGTATTTCCCAGTAAATAGTCAAGCACTCACGCACCACAGACAATGCAAATTGTACAGGGATTAAAAAAATAATAATTCAAAGGAATGGGAGAAATCTTGTGCATGGGGGAGAAGAAGAGAAAGTTTTTTGAACATATATCTTTGAAAAGCAGTGTTTTAGTTATATTTCTGGTGTTTCAGGTTATATTTCTTTACAGGCAGAAAGGTCAGTTTTCTCACATTCCTAATATCCTATTAAAGCACTGAAAAGCAATTAGAGGTTGATTTACCTTGATGTGATTCTCCCCCTCTTCTCTCCATCCTCCCAGAGGGCTCTAAGACATTACCCCACCCAGAACAGCCTTTCCAATAGAGTTCGTGCTTTCATACTGTCCATGCATTACCTGATAAGTTTTTCAAAAGCTTCCTTTTCTTTCCGCAAAGCAGTGAGATAGCGCTGTTCCTCGGTCGAACCTCCGTATATGAGAAAGTAAACCCTGCAAATTAGGACAGAACTCTTTTAGGTTGCAAAGACCTAACTTGTAATCCCTGAAAGGGAGCACATAGCATTTGAAATCAGCAACCCGAAGTGCTCAAATAATAAATATTTAACTAAGGATAAAAGTTCCATTTATCACACTGAAATTCATCTCCCTGAACCCCACCTGCTACAGGTCTCACTGCCACATGGGTCATTTTCTTTTGCCAAAGGAAGAATGGAGTTTAGGCAAACAGTGAAAGAGAATGAGAGGGATAGGATAATTCTCTCCTTATAACTACAAACAAACCAGAAAACACAAAATCTCAGTGGCTTCTCTATCTTCAATGCTTCTTTGCATCTCTGCCAAACAAGCATTTAAAATGCTGGGCAGTAGTTATGAAAAAGCAGCTTATGGAAGTTTATGTTAGTGAAAAATAAACAAATGAGATCTATATGAACTTTATCTTCACAAGTAATTTCTCAGTTCTTTTTTCTTCATGTCTTAACAGAACCGAGTTATCGCACATTTTATATAAGCACACAGACACTGAAGACACATGGATTACATCAGGGTCCTCAAGAAATAACTCGATATATGCTTTTCTTTTAGAAAGATCTGCTTTTCTATCTTGCTTGTTGCTATGAAGATGAATTAAGCACCTTTTTCTGTCCCTTCCCTGCACCTTCTATCAGAGATATTTCCCTTTTTCAGCTTTCGATTTTTCTTTTAGACTTCATCTTCCTAGATTCTTTGAAATGTGAACAGGGAAGAGACCACTGGACAGTGAGTCCAGAGACCTTAGTTCTTCCAGGAATGTGCCACGTGGCCGAAAGAAGTCGTTCACCATCTCTGGGGCTTTGGTTTCCCACTGACAGAGTGAGCAGTTGAATTCCCAAGTTCCTTCTGATTCTGATATTTTGTTTGCAAATATCACACTATTTTATTTTCAGGCAACAAAGAGCAGACAAGCTATCTACAAAGTTGATCAATGGCAAAGTATGAAAAACTTACCAGCCTATAATTATTTTACCAGCTTCATCTAATCTCTTCCTTCTACATTATTTCTGATCCACTTCCTCCATTCATCTCTACTGTGAAAGGCTGCATTCGTTAAACTTGCTAGAAAAAAACCTCTTTGGCCTGTTTTTGGTTCAGACTGTGTTCAGGATATTAATTTTGTGGTTTATTTCCTCTCAGATAACTGGAGAGCCAGAACACTATATTCTTTGGGAGGCATCATTTTCTCATCTGATATTTCTGTAGATTGTTCACTTGATATTTCTTGAAACTCAAGAAAACTTGGCACAATAATTCCTCAAATACTTTAGTTTTATGTGAATGTAACTCAGTCACTTCTTAAAATTTATAAGAAAGACATTTTAGCCAAACCGGTTTGGCTCAGTGGATAGAGCGTCGGCCTGCGGACTGAAAGGTCCCAGGTTCGATTCCGGTCAAGGGCATGTACCTTGGTTGCAGGCACATCCCCAGTAGGGGGTGTGCAGGAGGCAGCTGATCGATGACTCTCTCTCATCGATGTTCCTAACTCTCTATCCCTCTCCCTTCCTCTCTGTAAAAAAATCAATAAAATATATTTTAAAAAAAAAAGACATTTTAGAAGATTGAAATTATTTAGCTGAGTCATAGTGATGATAATTTTGGGGAGAAGTGAGGATATAAATTTCCTAGACTTGTTTAAATAGAGCACCCCATGAGGTACAAACCAGTGCATAAAGAATATGCAACGTAACGACAGAGCAGCAAGTAATGAGATCACAAGCAGTCCTCTGGACTCACTGTTATGCTACACTGGAAATCCTTCCTATGCAAACTCCCAGATTCGTCAGAAAGCAAACTAAGGTTTCATCCAATGTAACCAACACATAACAGCAGAATGTGAAAGACAAGAAAACCCACACGCAACAGGTATAGTTGCGGTGCTAAATCCTAAAGAACTTGTGAATTTGAAGCCTTAAAGACGCAGTTCACACTCCACACTCTTTGTCACTTGCCTGAGAGGTTTCCCGGGCCTACTTGCCCTGTAAATTTCGAGCTGACGCACGAAGGTTAGCTCTGCGTCATACAGAACCACGTATCTTGGCTCTACTTCGTGGAGTACCCTCGTCAGAGCATAGGGGTCGCTACAACCCAGAAGTGGGTGGATGATGGTGAGGGGGTCTTTCAGAATCCCATAAGCGGCATCTGAGGACAAGTTTAAATCAAACTCCTCGTGCTGGATGTCTCCTAAGCAGCTCTCTGGGCTGCTGCACAGGTCTCTAGGGTATCCTTCTTTGCTGTCCCCTTCCTCTTCAAGGTCTTCAGGTTTCTCCATCATCTGAGTTAACGTTAACTTTCGCTTTTTCTTTTTGAGAGCCCTCTCTTTGGCAGGAGCTCTTTCTTTGTTTTGGGGGTCTTTGGGTCTCTTGTTAGATTTCCCAGTTCTCTTTGCTCCTTCCTCCTTTCTGAAAGTCACCCACACTTCTTCAGCTTTGCCGTCCTTCTCGAAGGCTTTCCGGTAGAGTCTCAGCAAGAAGGCCTCTGCTCCCATGGTGATGTACTCTCTAAGCTGGGAACACGTTCGGTCGTCACTTGCACAAATCAGTACTTGACCTAAAATTAGAAAACAACATTATGTCACTCTTCCCCATGGGTCCCCTCACCAGTTTCCTCACAAGGAAGACACGTTTTATCTCTTGGTGCTAAATTTGTTTAAAAGGGGTCTTGGATGCAGGATCATGTAAAACTTTTAAGTAAAATTGAAGCCAGAAATATTTAATCTCATGAAAGTATAGCCATTGTAAAATGGAGGCTTCTAAAAAGTTCTTTTAAATTAGTAATTCCCAGAGGATCTTATACACCAAAATAAATTCCAAGTGGATTTCAGAGTCAAATGTTAAAGATTAAATTTTATATATATATATATATATATATATATATATATATATATATATATATGATTCTTTTTCACCTGTCTGGCTACAGATGATTTTCTAGGCTTAAAAGCAACAGAAAAAAATCTCAGGAAGATCAATATCTATAAGTTAAAACTGACTCTATAAGAATAAAACACTGTGCATTAAAAAACAAAAGACAAAGAAAGAATGTTATGCAACAGTGATAAATGTTAGTATCTTTACTGTGTAAAAAGATGATATAAACTAAGGACATAGCCTAAGTTGGCAAAGAAAACTAAGACAGAAGAGGAAATGCATTTGAGAAAATACTGAGCCTATCAAACATCAAATCTTAAAACAAGATAACATTTTTCTCCAATCAAATTGACAAATTATACATATACTAGAAGCTTGAGGCATGGCATTAGTGCACTGTGGTGGGGGTGGGGGTGGGGTTGGGGGTGGCCTTCCTCAGCTCAGCCTGTGCCCTCTTGCTGGCGAGCTTGGCTTCTGGTTGAGCTACACTCCCTCTGTGGGAGGCGCACTGACCACCAGGGGGAAGCTCCTGCGTTGAGAGTCCTCCCCCTGGTGGTCAGTGCATGTCATAGCAACTGGTTGTTCTACCATTGGGTCTATTTGCATATTAGCCTTTTATTATATAGGATATGCACATATATATATATATATATATATATATATATATATATACACACACACACACAAATAGACAGACACTCTAGTCATTGTTACCTAAGTGAAAAAGAAATAAACTCTTATACTGTTAGAAGAAACAGAAGTTGACAAACTTTTTGTAAATCAATATGATAATATGACTCAAGATCTTTAAAAATGTTAGTATTATTTGACTCATCAATTCTATATCCAGAAATTTCATCTACATATGATTTATCAAAGTGAAATAGAAGATACAGGAAAAGAAGGCTGGAAGGAAAAGTGCCAAAGTTAAAAACATTGTTAATAAACGTCATTGTTAATAACATGGCTGTCAGATACAATTTTTTGCCTTCTCCTTTTTCTGTATTTTTTTTTTTTTTTTTTTTTTTTTTTTTTTTTAGTTGAGCATGTGGGCCTTTGGTCTTAAATCCAGCACTGTAAGTTATGGAATAATATCACCAACACACTTACTAATAAAAGGATTGTGTGCTTGCCTTTATTGTTTTGCAGAATTTCAGACTCAATTAGTTTAAAAATCTAGTTTTCTTTTACCTTCTGTTTGGCTTTATTTTTTTTTTAATTTAGCTCAGGCTTAGTCTATGTTAATCTAGTATACTCATGTTTGAAGAAAGCAGCCCTGAAAGTTGGAATTTTTGTGAGGCTGAGTCCATGTCACTCCATATACTAGTCTAGGCTTCCCTGAAAAGATACTTGCTGAGAAAATAAAACACAAGTCCCTTTAGCTTTCTCCTCGGGGATTCCAGATTTTAAGCCTGGTAAATGCATATATGGAGACTAGCTGTGTCTTTAAATAGAATTCCTGAGAACCCGACCAGTAAAAGAACCTGCTTTCATGAATACACGGTGACTTAGCCTGGAGAAAGTCAGAGATAGGGGGTTGCTGCTAGATTTCTGTGTTCATTTGGCATTTATTCTTCTACATTTTATAAACACAGTAGTAAGCTGATTTTAAAGAGCTAATAAAAAAGACACATTGGTTTGGTTTTTGAAAGCAGATGTCAGCACCTCCTTTTCCTACCTGGACCACCCAGGGCTTCACTCTCTGAATTTTCTGCTTCGATTTCTTTCAGTACTTCAGTCAGCGCTTCCCACTTTGGGTTGCTTTCTAGGACCAGCTCCTTTTTTGTTTCTGTACAGAAATAAAAGATAATCTCATTCTATGTGATCATTTTTACCCACGAAGTGTTACGAAGATTTTCAAATCAATAGATAACACAAGCATCACTTCATAAGCCCATTCCTTTGAGCTTCCTCCATAATGCCAGGGAGAATCTGTTTCTTTGAAAGAAAAGAGTCTCTTCGTGGTTTAAATCAAAGGCACTTCAAATCAACATTAATTCAAGTTTAATAATGCCTTGCTAGAAAGTGATATTCATGGTCACTAATTAAGAGATAAGTCTGTGTTAGTTGTCAGTTGTGATGCTATATATGACCTGTTATACAGAACAATCAATAGAAAGTTACAGTATTCCGTTTCTAAAATCCCCATGATTTTCACAATCCTGAACATAAAATTGAAGTAGACAACAGTCAAATTTTTATTTCACAACACTAATATGTTTAATTAAGTTTTAAGATAGATATTTGAACTAGAAAGTAAGCATTAACCTTATCCCATGCCTTAAGAAACCAATGATTTTTGTTATTGAGCTATATGAGTTCTTTACATATTTTGGATATTTGCCCCTTGTCAAATATATCATTTACAAATATCTTCTCCCATTCAGTTGGTTGCCTTTTGTTCTGCTGATGGTTTCATCTATGCAGAAACTTTTTAGTTTGGTGTTGGTTGAGAGTATCATGCTTAGTACAATAAGTCAGATGGAAAAGGACAAGAATCATATGATTTCACTCACACATGGGATATAAAACAAAAGAACAAACAAACTTATAGACACAGACAACAGTATGGTGGTTATCAGAGGGGCAAGAGGTCTAATATATGATGATAAAAGAAGACTACACAATGCAGTATACAGATGATGTATTATATTATAGAATTGTACACCTGAAACTTATATGGTATTATTAACCAACATTACCCAAATAAATTTAATTTTAAAAACATAATGATATTAATTACATTGAAATAAAATCTGTATTTGCCTCATTCTAGTATATTTATGTTCTCTAAAAACTAAAGGGATGTTAAAATGTTCCACTAATACTTTAAGTGCCTCAACTAGTAATTATTCTGAAGTTAAAATGAAAATCTGTACTTCTTATGCAGCAGTAAGAATACACTCTTGATACTTGGCATTTGTTACTTTGAATTCTTTGATAAAGGATTCTAAGGATTTTCCAGGGTGAATACTTTTTCCTTTTGTTTGTTTTTTCCCCATGGTGAATACTTTTAACATACTTTACATATAACCTACACTTAACAGACATGTACACATTTTCACATGACCAAAAAAGATTTAAAATTTCAATGTAACTTGATAAGCAATTCCACACTAAATACTGAAATAAAAGACACATTTAAAAACCCAAGCCTACAAGATACCTTGTTCTTCTTTAATCTCCACTTTTTCGGACATTTTGCCTTTTTTACTCATTTTGGCATCCGGAACACGATAAACCCTTGCTCGAGCATTTACAAACATCGAGGTGCTGGAGTCAAGAAACAGCCAACCTAATATAAAGAGTTAAAAACACACATACACACAAAAAAAACACACCTTAAAATTTTAAAGAATCTCTGATGGTCCCATGATCTATATATACACTCTGCTGCCATCTTGTTCTCTGACCTACACCTTCCCTTCTCCTATGGCCTCTGTCACCATTTGGTTAGACCAGTGGTTTTCAAAGTGTGGCCTTTAGGCTCTCAGGGAACCCCAACATATTTTCAGGGGGTCTACCTTCATAATAATACAACTATTCTCATTATAATACTAATTGATTTGACTTTTTCCCACTGCACTGACATTGCCTATGATGGTGCAAAAGAGTTAGTACGTAATACTGCTGATGCCTAAGCACTATCAAGGCAGTGGAACAAAAGTGTACAGTCCATCAATGTATTCTTCATTTCAATGCATTTGCAGTTTATCACTCAAGAATGTCCCTGATGAAGCAGTAAAAATTGTGAATCCTATTAAGTCTTGGCCTCAGAGGCCCATGGACCATACTTTGAGAATCACCCGCCTCGGCCACAACAGTGAGGGAAAGATGTGACTGATAGCAGAGCATGACAGTGCCCAGTCATATGTGCATGCTATGTTTCCTTACAATCAGCTCATCTTTGGTCTTTAGCACTCTAGCTGATGAAACTCATACTGCCTTACTGTTTCTGCATGGAAAATGAATTTTAAATTCTTAACTAACCTTCCAGAATGCAAGTTATTTCTAAGTTGGGAACTGCTTGTATTATACAAATTTTTTTCTAGAAATAAAATTGCCCAGAATGGATAATGAATATTTATTATTTTAGAGAACAGAAGTTAAGTAGGTGGAAACATTAGCTATCAATAAAACCTATATCTTTGCGCTAGGAATGTAAAATGTAATCTGAAGCTTTAGCATATCAAGTAGGTGAATATAGCACTCCCCATACCTGATTCCTCAACAAAACCCAGTACTATATTCAAATCAGCTTCTGGAAGAATATTAGTATTTTTATTTCCTACCTGAATTTTGACCAAAAGCCTTCTCTGTTGCTCTCAAGGATTCCAGAAGATTAAGAAATGTGATGCAATCATACTGAGAAAGATATTGCAGTAAAGTTCGTAATATCTTCAAATCCTGAACCAAGGATTTGGTCTTGGCTCCAAGCTGGTGCCACAAAGGATCCAGATAATGGCGGATTGTCTAAAATAAGAATAAGAATTAGTATTGCTAAAATATGTTCATATAGCTGTTATTAATACAGATTATACTTTCAAAATATCATCCCCTATATACCTAAAAAATGGTTAAAATGATGTTATATGTTTTATCACAATAAAAATATCCAAAATAATATCATGTAAGGAAGTGGATAGAAATTTCAGTTCATAAGATTCTAAAAATAATGTTTAATTTTTCAAATACAATCCATAGTGCCTCATCAGTAGAATCTTTATAATCAGATAGAGTCAATTCATAATTATCCATATGTACAATTTTAGTCAGAAAAGGCCTGATAAACATCAGATAATCAATGATTTATTTTTAAGAAGAGTCAAAGCATGCAGCTCAGACATTCAATTTCTGCCAAGTTCAGCTGTGACCTTATCCTGGATTGATACAGTTGTGGGGTCCAGTGGGACAATGGAGCAGAGGGCATAAGCCAGGGAAACTACATGGCATTAAATTAAATAACTGTACCTTAATTTGTTGGTGCAAAAGATCTTAGCTCTTTATTTTTTTTAATTGTGATTCATGGATGGGCAAATAGTGTTAAATACTGACTAAACTGTTAAGTTGACTAAATTGTTAAATTAACAAACGGACTAAATTTGAATATTTTTTAAAAATATATTTTTATTGATTTCGAGAAGAAGGGAGAGGGAGAGAGAGATAGAAACATCAATGAGGAGAGAGAATCATTGATTGGCTGCCTCCCGCTCACCCCACACTGGGGATCAAGCCCACAGTCCGGACGCTCTAACCAGACAACAAATTTCACATTCCCCAATAAAGAAAACTCATCCAAATTATTTTTACTCTAAACAAGAGATTATACATTCTGAAGCAGTCTCATGTAAAACTCTTCTACCTGTAGATAGCCGAATGCTGTCATTTAAGAGCACAAAGATTATTTATGCTCCTCTTAATTATATTTAAAATGAGATCATCGCTGCAAAATCAGAATTGTGCTTATATGTCAATCCACATATTTTACTACAAATGACTACTTTCCAGTAAACCGAAGATGCTATCTGTACTTTATTAATTATAAACAACAGCAAATTCCTATGAAGAACACTGCAAATGTTAAAATAACTGGCATTCTTTAAAATTAAAACATAACAAACTGTGCTTAAAAAGGAAAAGAAATAGAGTACCTTGTCAAAGGGTTTTCCAATAGCGTTTTCTAAAGACAAATCTTCGACTTCCAGCGATGGGTTATGACATTTTAGTTCCTTTAGACATGCATTTAAAATGTCCAGTATAGCAGTCTGTATGGCAAGCATGGCAGGTGTCATAGAAACATGGATTTCTACGACTTCAGGTTTGTGCTGTTCTAAAAACGAGTTTACCGCTACATGGAACCTAAAGGGACAAATATATTTCAAATATTTTTCTAGAGTTTCAACGGCTATGTTTCTGGTCTCGGATCAACTTTATAATGTTTTTTAAATTTTTTATTTTTAGTGCAAGTAAGAAACAAACAAAATAGAAAGTACAATGACAATGTTTTCAGAAATACTTTTAACCTTCATAAATGAAAATTCTTCAAAGAAAGCAAGGGTCAGCAAACTATGGTCTGGGCTAACTCCTGGGCCTATTTTTTAAAAATATGTTTTCATTAATTTTTAGGGAGAGGCAGGGAAAGGGAGAGAGAAACGTTACTATGAGAGAGAAACATTGATGGGTTGCCTCCTCTATGCACTGTGACTGGGAACTAAACCCAAAACCTGGGCATGTGTCCTGACCAGGAATCGAACGGGCGACCTTTTGGTGCACTGGATGATGCTCAAACAACTGAGCCACGGCATGAATTTCTACGATAGCAGCCAGGCCTGGGCCTATTTTTATAAACAGTCTTCCTGGGACACAGCCATGCCCACGGTTCATGTATTGTCTATGGCTACTTTCATGCTAGGACAGCAGAGCTGAATAACTAACAGACTGCCTGGCCCACAAAACTTCAATCGTTACCAACTGGCCCCTTCCGGGAAAAGTTTGCCAATACCCAAAATATGGCATAATCAAGAAACAAAAAAGAAAACAACTACTCTTGAATACCATAAAGTGTAACCAAACTACCTATTAGCATAGGTTGCAAACTGTTTGAAAACTGAAGCCTTCTGTCCTTCCTAGAAATTTACTGAAATTCTTCAAGGTCTTTGGGCATGATTTCCCTGATGGCTTATTTTCTAAGTGGAAGTGGGCCAATAAACATGCAGTCTACCTGCAGCTACTGTGCATATGAGTCTCGAGCTCTCTTGGAGTTTTATTAAGTGGATGAGAAAGGATAGCATGGCTGCATTTGGATGGCTTTGACGGGCTACCAGAAAAATAATTACCAAATCTCTTTCTCCTTTAAAAAGAATCACAAAGGTGGTGACCATATATTATTTATATTTAGATGCACTCGTTATGAACCTGACTAGCATGTATCAAGTCCAATTACAGTAAGTATTACAATGCATTAAAGTGCAAAGTGAAATGACAGCAGAGTCTCTCAGCCATTGATCCCATGATGCTACGTACCTGGGCCACAGATAGAGCTTCCTTACGAAAAGGTTCCTCATCACTCTTTCCACGTGACAGAAACCGGTATCGAAGGCAACAGCGTTGTCCGTGAAAGCTTTAATAAAGCCTCGCTTGTTTTTCTGGCGAAAGAGGCGCAAGATGAACGCTTCTTGACAAGACTCGATTATTCTGTGAGCTCTATACACCAAGATGCCTGAAGGGGGAAATTAGAATTTCAGTTACAGGAAGACGCAGTTTTCAGGCTCAGTTTCAGTCACTTACTCATCACATTTTTCTTGAGTGCCTACTTGAGCATGGGCAAGCACTGCGCTAGGCTGGGAGTATAGTCTCAGAGAAAATACGTAGTCCTTATGTCACTTCTATTCACAATATAAATAAGTAAAATAGTCAGTCGGTTATAAGGTGATAAGAGCTGGAGAGAAAAAAATAAATCAGAGGAGGGGGAGCATGTGTGAAAGGTGTGGTTTGAAATTTTAGATAGGGTGGCCTCACTGAGGTCACGTGAGTGAAGGCAGATGAGGAGATGAGCCTTGCAGACTCTGTGGGCCAAGAGACCTCCAGATGGAGGTGATTATACGAGCAAAGGCCCTGGGGTAGGCTGTGTCTGGCACAGTGGAAGCATTTCTGAAAGCTAAGTGGGTTCCTAATTCTCCTTTTATTGTGAATGAGATGTTGACTACACAAGATTGCTGCATTTCAGAAGTTTCGGCAATATCTGCATCGCCTATTAAAATAATTCAATTTTCAGAATCAGAGTGTTCAATTGAGAGCTAAATTAGCCCAGTTAAAATAAACACTTTTAATGAGTATGTTTAATACATACATTTTTTTCTTTTTTTGATGTGGATGTGGTGATAACACCTCTGAATCACAAAAAACACAGACAATTATACATGTTTCCTTATTTATAAAACAAGCACTGAACCAGATGACCTTCCATATATATAATATATATAATTTTGTTGTGGTATGATTAGTGATAAATTAGGGACAGACATGAGATGGTAAAAGAACGCATAGACATAATTTCTGGGTCGAAAACTCAATTATTCTATGATGATTCTCAGCCTTGTACAATAGATGCAAACCAAGCCTGTTATATATACTGTTATATATATTTGCTATAAATGCACTTGCATATTTTTGTCCCAGTTGTCATCACTTCTAGTTTCTAGAAAATGCCACCAATTGCAATATATGACCCTTCAATTCAGATCCTACTATTTTAGTGTTTAAATTCTGGATCACAGTGGATGGAGGTAACATTTATTTGCCTAAGCAAATTGTTTTTCAAATATGGTAAAAATTAATAGTATTATTTAAGAATTTGTAAACAAAGGATTTTCAATCACTCCAGTACATGTTCATAATTAATTTACTACTCAGAAAGAAAAAGATTCTGTACCTAGTAGATGGGTTTTTCCAAGTACCCTACTGGGCCACATTTGCCGGCCTGAATTGAAATATTATATAAAATTAAAAATGATTTCTAAAGAAAAGGTGAACCTCAATTTAAGAAAATGTTGTGCTTTACCAGGCTGTCATTTTTTTGAAGCCCAATAGAGGAAGGAGAAAAGAACTAATATCCAAGGCCCTGGGGTTAGGCACTTTTACAGAGTTTTATTTAATTTAAACCTCACAATAATTCTATGAGGTAGGCATTATTATGAGACCAGGAAAGGGAAGAGACTTAATTAAGGTCTTCCAACAAGTAATGGGAGACCAAAGATTCCAAATCCCAGTTTTTCCTAACAAGTGAACCATTTGAGAACCCCACATTTTATAAAAAGAAATAAAAACAACACAAGCTGGTCATATTTCTGGGGCAATTCTAATCCCACAAAAGCGTACTGAATTTTTTTGTGCTCCAATAACATCTTGTATCTCATCTCATATTGTGCTGTAAATATTTTTTTACATCGTTCTCCTCCACTAAACTGCCTGAGGACAGGAACATTCACAACACACAGTAGTCACAGAATGCTTCCTATGTGCCATGCACAATGCTAAGAATTTTACATAGGGTATCTCATTTCACCCTGACAATAACCCTAGAAGGAAAGTATTATTACTGCCTCCGATTTACAGATAAGTTACTGGGTCATACAGAAATTAACTTTTAATTAGAAAGTGCGTATAAGCTCTACTTTGGACATTTATTGGACTCAGATTGCTTAAGTAGGTTGCACTATTATTGAAAGAGCAATACTGACATCTGGTGGTGGTTTCAAGATTTTTTTTTTCATTTTATCAACCTAAAAAATAAAGACCAATAAAACTTATAGGAAAGGTGCAAACAGTAAAAGACTTCGTGATCTATCAAGATTTCTGATTATAAAATGCCAATACACTTTTTTATATTATTCATTAAGTGTTTTTCACATACCAGGCCCTAATACTAAGCAATTAAGAAATGAGAACACTGGGACTCATGAAAAAGAAATTAATGAAAAATTAAGTAAGTTGCTTGTATGTAGTGGCATTACCAAAGTCAGGTGATTCTGACTGCACGGTCTGTGCCACAGCTTATAACAATCAGCTCACCATGAACCATAAAAAGAATGCATTCTTATGTTTATTCATTAAATATTTTTTGAGGGTCTCCTAGGTTCAGAGCAATAGGATGGACAAAACGGGAAAGTACAACTATGACTTTCGTAAGCCTCTCTCCCCTCCAAAAGTTCACAGTACACCCATGCATCATTCACCCAACAAATGTGTGTTTAGTACCTACTGTGTACCAGTTACTTAGTACCTACTGTGTACCAGTTACTTGGAGCCTGGGACAAACAAGTTGTTCCTTGTGCCTATAAAGCACATGTGTCAAACACAAGGCCCGCGGGCCAAATCCATCCCGCCAGGCCTTGCAATGTGGCCCGCACCGCGCTGTCATCACTGCACTCTGCTGCGTTTCCATCACAATGACAGTTTATGACTGTTCAGTAAACCATTCGGCCCGCGATTTAGGCTGGATTTAGATTTTGGCCCCTTTTCTGATTGAGTTCAACACCCCTAAAAGCTTGTTCTCTCATGAGCCAGACAGACAAATAAGCAAACATTTTATGGTGTTTTGAATGCTATGAGAAGCATGGGATAACCTGTGGTCACAGAGGTAGAGCTTCTAAATTAGTTTTGGGGAAATCAGAAAAGGTTTCTTAAAAAAAATAAGTAATAATAATAATAATAATAGTTCCTTTTCTATATTAATTTTAGCTAAAAAACCGTTCTTCTCAAAATAATTAAGCAACTATTTGGTCTAATTCACATCACGGGGAAAAAGTACTCCTTAAAGAGGAAAAACAAATATTTTAGGAAATATACAAAGAACATTTATAAACATTTCAAGTCCGATTAGGTTCTAAAAGCAAATGCCATCCAAGTACCATTTTATTTACTGAACATGAGCTTAGAAAACAAGGAAAAGTCAATCTTACATTTATTGGTTTACTTATTCGGGCCACAAACATTTACTGAGCATCTGTAATGTGTCAGATATTATGCTAATGGCTAAAAGGACAATGTTGAGAAAATACACAATGCTACTCACAAGGTTCTCACTTAGGGTAGTTTAGCAGAGGGGACACACACACACACACACAAAAGGCAAATTTACATATGACAAACTTTCAAATTCTTACCCGTAATTAAATCTGAAGGTATTCTATCAGTCAAAAAATCAACCACGAGTATCCTGCTGGTTGCAAAGATCACACCTCCTTGCGTGTAAACCTCATAGCGACCGTTGCTGGCGATCTCATTGGTCACCCGGCGGGGGAGGTGCTCCACCCCTTCTATCTTCAGCTGATTGATAAAATACTCCTAAGCCAAAGGAAACCTCATTAGTGGGCTGTTTCACACAAGGGGTAGCTTTCAGGAGGTTGCAGGGACTTGTCTTTCGAATGATGGGCAGCTTCCCCCAGAGATAAGGAACTTACATGAACTTACATTAATCATGCACACACACACACACACACACACACCAAGTCACTACTTGATGTTGATCAACCAGCCAGACTGCACTTCACTAGGGTTTTATTTTTGTTTTGAGGCTTACACAAAGGAATCATTGCAGTTGTTATTAGCATTTTAATAATAATTGTAAAAAGGCTTTCAAGGACTTGTATGCATGCATATAAGCATAACCAGTGGACGAAAAACTCTGGGGAGGAAGGGCAAGTATGGGAATGGGAGGGGGTGGGGATTGGTAAGGTAAGTACACATATAAAACCTTAATTTAAAAAGTGAGGGGGGGGGGAAGGCTTTCAACCCCTGAGTTGAAAAGACATCTGCTACCTAGAAAAAAAAAATATTTCCCACCAAAGCCAGGTTTGTACCAGCGAGAGGATATCGAGGGGTATCTCCTGGGGGGCAATGTGTGCATTAGTAGTTCTGTCAAGATCCTCCCAGAAGGAATCTCATCGTGTCATTGGGGCCCTCGGCCTGCACACCTTCAGCTCAGCACCACCTTCACTGGGGCCTGGGAGTGGGGCGGGGCGGGGCTCAGGCCTCTGTCAGGCACAGGCCAAGCCTAGGTGGATGGCACAGGAGCCCTGCCCTCAAGGAGACTGTGGTCGCTCTTCCCAGCTGACACGTCCCTCCTGCCACCTGCTCTGTCTCCGGCTCATCAGCCTTGTCAGACCAGGCCCTGTCACCTCTCAACACCCCCAGGACAACACCCCAGCACAGGTGTACCCCCCACAATCCCAGGTTCCCTTCCCCAACATCCCCAACTTCCAGCTCCCTCCCTTCCCCTGTGGTCCCACGCCCTCCTCCCACAGCTCTGGTGAACCTCAGTCCCTCCCCTTCCCTTCAAGGTTCTCTCCCAGCATCAGCATCCTTCACGTCCCCCCATGACGCTCAGAGATTCCTCCATCCCCATTCCCAACCCTTTCCCCAATCCTACTCCTCTGACCCCAGCAAATCCTTTACGTAGGGGATCCCATCATTATTCCTATCCTCCCAAGGGGCCTCCCCTACTCCTGTCAGAGCCCCTCCGTCCCGCTCACTGTCCTCGGTCAGGGACCTGCCTCTGTCCCCGGGCCCCTCATTCAACGCCTCCCCATCCCGGCGTCCGGGGCCTGCGCCGCCCTCAGCGGCCTCGCCTCCGCGCCGGGGCCGCATCCCCTCGCTGGGGTCCCCCTCGCTCCCGGGGTCCCTCAGCCCGGCGCCGGCGGCCGCACCTCCTCGGCCGGCTGCGTGTTGAGCACCAGCACCAGGCAGGCCGGGTGGCAGTGCAGCCGGAGGAAGTGGTAGAGGAGCCTGTCGGCGCCGAGCCCGCGGGCGCACACCACCAGCCCGTCCGCGTCCAGCAGCTCCAGCACCAGCTGCCGCTCGTACTCCAGCAGCGGCGCCATCGCCGTGGGTCGCGCCGACAGTCCCCGCTCCATGGGCGCCCTTCCGGGCCGCGGCCGAGCGCGGGCGAAGAGAGCCGAGCCCGAGGGGACGAGCGTCAGCCGAGCTCCGCCGAAGAGGAGCCGAGGCCCGGGCGAGCGTCTCCCGAAGGAAGCCGAAGAGAGCCGAGCCCGAGAGGACGAGCGCTGGCCGAAGGGGAACCGAGGCCGCGACGAGAATCTTCCGAAAGAAGCCGAAGAGAGCCGAGCTCCAGAACGCGAGCGTCAGCCGAGCTCCGCCCAAGAGGAACTGAGACCAAGCCGTGCGTCTTCCGAATGAAGCCGAAGAGGCCAAGCCGAGCCGAGCCGAGCCGAGCCGAAACACAGACCACGAGAAGCCGAGCGGAGCGAAGATCCATAGAGTCACAGGGCGGTGCTAGTAGTCCAGACTGGTGCCCGCTATGAAAAGCCTCTTCCCCGGAGCCTTCAGTCATTCCACCTCGTCTGGTACTTCGGATTTGAAAGTCCGGCATCCTAGACCTGGACCTAGAAAACAAACTACCAAAAAGTAGAAGAGGAAAATGAAATTCAAGGAGTTTAAATCCCAGACTCTTCCATTGAGAAAGTTACTTGTCAATCTCCCAAGTGTTCTTGTTCTTTAAGAATGTTTTGAGTTAAGTAGAACAGCTTACTCATTTCAGGGCTCTTGTTTCTCTCGGAAGGTCTCGAATACAATAAGCAATTTAAAATAAAGTCTCAACCACGTGTTCCACAGCAGCCCTGTACCACCTTCCACTAGAGGGACACCTTTGATAGTTTTTGTTCTATATCTAGAAATGCCTGATAATCTAATGAAAAGAATTGTTCTATGTAGAAATGCCCCCCCACCTTCATTATTAGAAAATCGAAAATATAAGTAAGCCAAAATAAAAATTAGATGTGATTCTATAGTCCAGAAATAACCTCTGTAACATGAAATGTATACTTTTAATATATACTGGGTGTCCCAAAATATGTATACACACTTTAACAGTTGATAGCTCAATTTTGAAAATGAAATGCTTTTAAACAAACACTGCCTTTATAATTATTCAAAGTGTGTTCATACATTTTTGGGACACCCTATATACAAATATATACACACTCTTTCACCACACAAAATTCTCTTTTTGATATAAGAAGTAGCCCTGATTTAAGTTTGTCACTAACATTTGACAAACCTCTGAACATGGTGTTTAATATCCTTTCACAAAATCCTTTCACAGGGTGAGATTTTTGTAATGAGGAGGTCTGGTACTTATTTCCTTAATCCTTATTAGTAAATAGTTTGTTTTTCCAACCAATGATTTATGGCAACAATTCAATGTCAACAGGAATCCACAAGTTGGTGTGTGGTGAGGAAGGAAACGTTATTCAGTGCACCATTCATGCTCTGCTCCACTCCAGTCCCATTAACTCTGGATTGCAGAGATGTCTTTGGTGGTTCAGCTCCAGCCAGGGAAACACAATCACCACTGGTGAAAGAGACAGTGTATGGGCTGACCGGGGGTAGAGACTTTTACAGAAAGAAGTCTCTACCCCCGGTCTCTGATTAGTCAATTCTCATGCAAATGAGGTCTGTAAATTCTCACAGTTTGATTGGTCCAAAAAGCGCTGTTCTGATTGGTCAGAATGGAGCCTCTCTGATTGGTCTGTGAAGGTGCTAATGATATAGCTGAGAAACACTGAATGACAGGGAAAGTCTAAGTCCTATTGGTCAAAATATGATTCTTTATAAAGATTGACTGAGAAGTTAGGAACACAGTGTAGGCAGTGTGGGAGGCAGGCCCCTTAGTGCAGGCTTCTCCCTGAATTGTGATTTTCATAGGAGGCCCCTGTTTAGAAACAGCTGTTAGGCTCTCTTTTTAAATTTGAGCCCAGTGAGCCACCTACTAAGCTCTTCTTAGTACGTATCTTCTTTCTCCAGTTGACCGTTTCCACTCCCTCTGCCCCAGTGTTATAGATAATATTTCACTGCACAACTTTATGCATAAATTCATCCATGCCCTAAGATACACTTTAGAAATGGATAATTACTAAGCTAAAGAGAAAAGACATTCATAAGGATTTTCATTACATTCACAGTGCCACGTTTCCTTCTAAGGAGCCTGTACCAATTCACATTCACACCAGCAATGAGAGAGGTATCGATCTCTCCAGTTCTACAAGTGAGAAAAATGAAGGTTCAGGGAAGATATGTAACTGGGGCAAGACCACCAAAGTAGTTAGCACACTACTTAGATTTAGGTCAGGACATGGTAAGCTAAGTCAGGACTCAACACATAGAAGATGCTGTGAAATGACAATGCTGAAAGTCAGACCTGACTCCTAAACTGTGGTAGACAGAATAATAATGGCTTCCCAAAGATACCCACATCCCAATTCCTGGAATCTGTGATTATGCCCTTTACATGGCAATTAGGGCCTTGAGGTTGTGATTAAGATAAAGATTTCAAAATGGGGAGATTATTTTAGGTTATCAAGATGGGCCCAGTGTAATCACAGGGAAGGAGGGAAACAAGAGGGTCAGAGAAGGAGATGTGATAATGGAAGCAGAGGTTGGAATGATGTGGAAGAGTCACACGCCAAGGAATGCAGCCCTTAGGAGTTGGCAAAGGCAAGGCAATGAATTCTTCCCTTTAGGGTCCAAAAGGAACGCAGCCCTGCCAACCCATTGTGGGCATCTGACCTCCAGAACCAAGAGATAATAAATTTGTGTTGTTTTAAGCCACCACATGTCTGGTAACTTGTTACAGCAGCAGCAGAAAACTAATACACAAGCATTCACAATTTCTATTACAGTGAGCTCTAAAAATGAAGTCCCCAACTGATCAAAACAAAGATAGGAGTACATGGTAAAGTAATTTTGGAGGATGATTGGCCAATACATATAGGAATTTAAAAATATATGTGTAGGTACATATATATACATGAAGATATATTCATCCTATGAGTGCTTATTGGGCATCCCCTACGTGTCAGAGATTGCACTAAGTGCTGGGGGTTTATCAATGAGCAAAGCAGGCAAAACCTTTGCCACCATAAGACTTCTATGCTAATGGGGAGCTTGTGTATAAATGTAATGATGTTTATTCATTTCATCATGTTGTGAGCTACCATTGTTTCTCAGGAAATTAGGAGGCATTGGGAGGTATTTTTACTAGGAGACTAGTCAAAAATTTCTTCATGCATCCCTTAAAAGTGGGATATCATGCAATCAATAAAAGCTATATGTGGCAAGATACACAATATATATACACCGAAAAAAGCATTTGAAAAAACAAGAATGCGTAGTATCTTCCCATTTGTCTAAAAACATCAACAAATAAACAATACTTTCTGTGACTGCATAGAAAAGCTATTAATAAAAGCAGTTATTTCTGGGACGTTGAAATGAATGGTTGGTATCAGGGTAAGACCTTTATATCTCAGTTCATTCTCTTCTGTTTGACTTTCTTATAATGAACTTATATTGCTTATATAATAAAAACAAAAGAAAAATTTCCAGGGTGCTATATAAATATTTCATCATCACTAAAATATATTGCCTGGTGAATTCTACATATAATACATGTGCGGTGGGTAATAATGCCGAAAGTTGGTATCTGGGTAGCGATTTTTGTAGATTCTAACAGATTGTGTCTAGACATTTTAGTTTTGTCCATGGGGAGGATGAAGGGACTAGCCCCCTCCCCCCACTTGCCATGTAGCTGTTATAATAATTCCCCAAATCTTTCTTTCATTTTTTTGATAATCTGATCACCAGAGTCATATTCCTTTCAAGTCACTTTGCAAGTTTCAGGTGAGCCCAGGAGGACACAGGGCAGGCTGTCATGTTTGGCCTTTGGCACTGGGCTGAAAGTGAGATTAAGCATTATTTTCCTCCTGACCTGAGATAGAGCCCAGCACGCCTCCATACCCTTAGCTTGGCTGCCATAGGAGGCCATCGTAATTTCTCTTAGCCATCTGAGTGTGTCTTCAACAATGTACACACACATGTTGACTAATTATAAAGGCAGTGTTTATTAAAACATGTTTCATTTTCAAAATTGAGCTATCAACGGTCAAAGTGTGTATATATTTTGGGGGGACACCCCATATCTATGTTAATGCCTAGTAGATCCAGAGGCTGGAGAGAGGATAAAGAGCTAACATTTTCTGGGATTAACTCCTCTCCTAAGCCTTAGAGTTTGCTTGTATGCTTTAAGGGTTCAAGCGCTCAGCTTGGTTGTCTACTAGCTGTGTGATCTCATGCAAGTTACTTAACCTCCCTGTGCCTGAGTTGCCTCATCTTTCAAATGGGGCTGATAATATGACCAACCGCATGGGTTTGTTGTAGATTAATTGAGATGAAGAATATAGCAGGATATGGCTAGTCCACCAGTTTTAATTCAGAAACATAATGACAACTGCTTAACATGATCCAACCTATTCTATCGATAGAATATGAGGCACATGTGCCTCTGAGATGGAAACCAAACATCCCTCCTTACTTCTTTTTTAAAAATATGTTTTTATTGATTTCAGGGAGGAAGGGAAAGGGAGAGAGATAGAAACATCAATGATGAGAGATAATCATTAATCGGCTGCCTTCTGCACCCCTACTGGAGATCGAGCCCACAACTCAGGGATGTGCCCTGACTGGGAATCGAACCATGGCCTCCTGATTTATAGGTTGATACTTAACCACTGAGCCAGGCCAAATAGGCCCTACTTACTTCTAAGGAGCCTTTGATGCCTGGATCCTTCCTGCCCTCTAATAAGGAGAAAATAGTTTGTGATTGTGAGTCATTTGAGCTCTGATTTTAAAATGTCTTAAAGATGATTGTGAGAGGAAAAGAGGGAATTAGGAGGTGTTATGTGGAGGACTAACAAGAGTGTGGGTTAAGAATTTGAAGGAAGGCCTGGGTGTGGAGAATGAGAAGTAAGCAAGGAGGTTTCTGTGGGCCTGGAAAGTGCCCTGACCAGCTCTCAGGGAAGATGTCTTACCTCAGTGATTGGCAAACTGCAGCTTGTGAACCACATGCAGCTCTTTGGCCCCTTGAGTGTGGCTCTTCCACAAAATACCACGTGTGGGCGCGCACATACAGTGCGGTTGAAATTGTGTGGCCCATGTGCAGAAGTAAGTATTTGGTCTGGG